TGAATGCTCGAGAACCGTGGCTCATCAAATGGAACGAAAACATCAACAACGAAAAGTCCGTACAAGTTGTATATAGCCTCAAGCATAAAAATTGTCTTCAAGTATCTTTCTATGGTCAGTTGTCACAAACAAACCCATTTTCAAAATATTTAGAAATTAAAATTGATAAGATCACGCAAAAATAGAAAGAACTCTGCTTAGAGTTTGGCGCAGCTATACTGGCTCCTTAGGCCAAGATCCCGCCTCAGTGTCTTCACATATAATAAAATGCTATTTTATAAAGCCGATCTGTACGTATGACATTCAAATCTGGATCACCGCAGCGAATTTAAATTCAAAAGTAATTCACCCATAGTGGGGGCTCTTTTATATGTGAGAAACTATGCCCTCCACCAATATCTATACTTATTCACTGTAAAAGAAGCAGTCAAAGAATTTAGTAGGCGTTACCTCTTCCGTTTGGATCATCATGAAAATGAATTTGTGATTCAAATAGTGGACAATAGTTTATAACAAAAAAGTTTAAAATGATATCACTCGCTAGTCTCAACCGTCTAAATGTGGGGTATTAGCAAAGGTAAGGTTAAGGTAAGGTCAACGTATGCTGTGCATTCCACCGAATCCACTTCACCAATTTTCTGAAGATTAAATCTTAAACTGTAATGACCGATAATGCTATTAAGTTACTTTTTGCATAAAAATAGAAGATTTGTGATCTGTTCATCATCAACAATACCACAAGGTAACTTTATGGTATGTCCTCTTGTTAGTGTTCTAAGACCTGAGTTTCGGTCTCAGGCACTCTAGGGTCTTCGAGTGGATCAATTCTGTCTGTTTTTTTTTTTTGTTCGTTTCTTTCTTCGCCTATATGACTGGGTATGCAAATAATTTTTTCCACTGAGATTCTAGTTCCTGCATCCTTGCATAAACCTATATTATGGGAATTAGTTAGAGGGTACAAATAGTCGCAATTTAAGCTTGACTTCGCAATAAATCGTTGGTAGATATTTCACCCTTGGAATCATCGATCACAGAACCAAATGTAGATTAGTCTCTTCTATAGAAAGAGAACCTTGTGGTTAATTCCTAATGGCTTTTCTTTTCTTTTCTCGTTTGCATTGACAATTAACCCAAGTTCAATAACAAGGTCGAGTTTAGATCCAATGGCCTATAACTTGAGAGTGAAATTCCTAAATTTCAGAGAATTATTTGACAGGCTAAATTATCCATTTATGACCACAAATTATAGTCCAATGGATTCAAATATGAACTTCCAGATGACCCAACAGCTGCAGTTGCTGATACAATTTTGCCCTTTAGACGTTATACGGATGAATGAGTATCTGGAATAACATTTTTTTATTTTTATTTTTTTTTTTTGATATTTTGTCTAGATTTTGTCCTTGGTTGCGACACGATATTGGTTGAAATTTTTTCGAAAAATGCACAAATAATTAAAGCAGTATACCACGATGCATTATCGTGGTGCAAAAACCAAGCGATGTCAGCTCATAATTTCGACCTCTTTTGACGAATAGCTTCGCGCAAACGACGCTTAAAACTCAAATATTTTTCCTTGTTGAAAGTTTGGCCGCTCGAAAGGAATTCGTAGTGCCGAAAACCTTGAAAATTACCTTGATTTTTGACCTTCTTTGACGTGGGTTTTTGGCTTCGGCTCACCTTTTCTACTATATTCGGCCGATATATCGGCTGTTTCCGGGTCGTGAGCATGGATCCAAGATTCATCACCAGCATTAGGCGTTTTATGACATTTTGGTGGTTGGAAAGCATTGTTTCACAGACGTCAATGCGACGCTGTTGTTTGTGTGCTCCCTATGTATCTTTTATATATGCATATACATATGTACATATATAACCGAATAAATTTAAACCACTTCATTGCATTATATTTCCACTTCTCGGCAAATAAAAGCCGCTGCTTTCAATTTATTTTTAATTATAAAAAAATGTATTTTATAAATTGAAAATTTTTACATGGCCAACTTATAAGCAAACTATTTACATTAATTGGAAATTTGCGTTTGACTTAAAATGAAAATCTTTTAAACAATAATATATATATTAATGTGTATATAATGTTATTTAGCATTACATTATTTGATTAATTTATTTTTTTATTTATATTTTTATTAATTTATTTATACATTGCTAAATCTTTACTTAGATATTATGTACAGCAGTTTTATTCAACTTAGTAAGCAGCATTTTTTTTTGGTTAATTTCAAATTTTTTTATATTGTCCATTTCATTTCATTTTATGTATGTTTGTATGTATTTTCGTTTACATGCACACACACATAAATATTTTTGCGCAGCTTATTGCCGGTTGGTATACGTATTTTTAGATGGTGGTGTTACTTAATGGATTTAGGAGCTAATTAATTAAAAATTAGAGAAGAATTAAATTGGGTGAAAATTTTCTTATTTTAAATAAAAATAAAAATTATGTTGTTGTTTATATTTTTTTTTGGAATTTTTATGCATTCTTCATTTAAATATTAGAAATGGTAAAATAAGAAATCTTTAATAAACTAGTAAAGTAATTGTTACATAAGCATATTTTCATTGCAAATAATTTATGAAAATTGCTTGGCTTTAGTTAGTCCATTTTTGTCTGTTTGTCTTAAATTTTATTAAAAAATCTTCTTTTCATTCATATAAAAATCAATTTAGTATGAAAAATAACTGTAAAAATGACACATGCACACACACACAGCTATAAATGCCGATATTTTTTTTATTTAAATTTAATTTTACATACGTAACTCTTAAAAAATAGGTGTTTTTTTTCGAAAATTTACACAAGGCAGTTCACTTGAAGTTTCGCATATTTCGCTAGAATTTGCTGATATTCATTGTTTTCATAAATTAAATTTAAAATAGGCACATAAAATACATTTAAATAAGAAAAAAATTTAAAAAATGTGACAAAAGTTTTAGTTAACAAGTATTTCTTTTTTT